CTCCACATTTCCATTTTGGGTCTTCTTCAGTCCTTCCTGTATCTAAGTTACCAAGTTACCATCTGTTGTCATTTTTCTCTAGCAGTTCTTTTAGCACAGGTCTACTAGCAACAAAATTTTTCAGTTTTATTTTCTCTCTTTTTCAATCTAGAAATGGCTTTATTTTTTGTCTTCAGGTTTGAAAGATGGTTTTATTGCTTATAGCTTTTTATTTTCTTTTAGCATTTTGAAGATGTCATTAAATGGAATAAGAAATCAATCAAAAGAATGGCAAGCCACTGTTCTTTTACAGAAAATGCAGTAAATTCACAAAGTATCTTAGGCTTTCAATGTCTTTTGGCTTCTATTATTTCTATGAAAAATCAGCAATAAATCATATCGTTGTTCCCTGTGTGTAATGTAACATTTTTCTTTTGTTCCCTTAAAAATGGTTTCTTTACCTCTGACTTCTGGCAGTTTGATCTTGAGTTGTATTTCTTTCTGTTCTTTGGATTAAATCATTTCTATCGTCCTATAAAATTCAATTATTCTTTCTTCTCACATCTCAAACAAGCTCATGCCATGAACTTTTCATTTCTGTTAAGTGTACTTTTAAGCTCTAGAATTTTCATTTGTTTCTTTTTCCATTTCTCTGTTGAGATTCCTTATTGGTTTGTTCATTATTAGCATATTTTCCTTGATTTCTTTGAGTATATTTTAAATAACTGCTTTGAAGACTGTCTGCTAGATGTAATGCCTGAGCTCACTCAGAGTCAGTTTCTATTGACTGATTTCCCTTCCCCCTTCTCTCCAAGTATGCAGAATACTTTTTCTTTGCATGCCTGGTAATTCTTTAAAACCAGACATTGCAGCAATTCTGGATTCTGTTTTGCTCTCCTGAGGGTTCTTGCTTTTACTAGACAAGTAACTTACATGGATTCAACCTTCAAATCTATCTCACTTTCAACTGTCACTGATAGCTCTGCTTTTTTTTTTTTTTTGAAGAGGGGTGGTCTAGTTCGTAGGAGTTTCCCCTTCAGCTGCATAGTTTTGTAGTCAGACAATGACTTAGGCAAAGATTATGCTCAGACACTTCAAGTCAGTAAGTCTTCAGCCCTAAAATGGGTGCCTAAATTGTGTGTGGATTGAGGGATGTTCTCAAAAGCGCAGTAAATTCACACACCTCCCAGGCTTTTGATTTTTGCTGGACCTCCTGTGGCTCCTGTATGCCTGCATAGTTTAGCAGTCAATGAGGGATGTGTGGCGAGATTATCATACGTGCTCTTCTTTGGCTCTCTCACTTCCTAAATCTCACTCTTAAATTTCTAGCTGCTCTTTCAGCTCCCTGAATCAAATTTGTCATGTCCAGCTGGTAAAGTTAAAAGGTTTTCACCACCCAAATTGGGTGTTATGAGAATGCCTCGAGGCAAGGAGGCCAGGAACTCGCGGTTCCTACCCAGTGCTGTAGCAGTTTTCATGAGTAAATTCTTCTCAAGTTGTCGTCTATCTTTGGTCATTTTTCAGTGACCTGAAATGATTGTCTCGAATAATTCTGTTCTTATTTTCTGCAGAGGGAAGTCACTTGACTTCCTTTCACCGCCATTACCAGAAGTAGTCCCTAGAGCTTGATCTTAAATGGAACAGGAAGCCACTAGAAGGACGCAAGCTACAAAGTGGTATGAATCAGCTCTGTATTCTTAAGTGCTCACTCTATAGGCTGCGTGGGAAATCAGTGGGTGGGCAAGACTTCCAGGTAGGATGTGTTTAGGGGAAGGTCCCAAGAAACACAACACGTTTAGCTAAAACAATGAAAGTGATTTGTTGTCAAATAACTAAAAAGTCCAGAGGTAGGACAATGGGGCCAGACATTCATGATGTCACCAGAACTCCAGTTCTGTTTCTTTGGAATGTCTGTGGGTCTGTCTCAAGCCCGCAAGGTAGTGAGGTGTGTCAGGAGCCTCCAGGCTCATGTATCCTCATTTATATCCAAGAAGAGGGATCCTCTCTTTCCTCAATCACTGAGCAAGGGCCCCGGGCTTTGCTCTGGCTGGGCCAATGTGGTCACTCCTGAACTAATCCCCATGGCCCAAAGAATTCAATGTGCACATTGGCTCTGACAGATCAGGATCAATTCCACCCAAACCACATAGCTGGGAACTTCTGGGTCCTATCAGAAAGGGCGGAGGGCTAAGTGGAGGCTGAGGAGGCTGCAGGGTCCAAGGGTGGAGTAATCCTGATTCCAGTCTTCATTACCAGATGTGTCAGTCCGCTCGGGTGGCCGTAACAGAATACCACAGACTGGGGAGGGCAAACAATAAGAAAAATTGTTTTCTCACACTTCTCTAGTCAGGAAGTCCAAGGTCAAGGCGTCGGCAGGGCGAGTTCCTGATGAGGCCTCTCTCCTTGGCTTGTAGACAGCCAGCTTCTCCCTGTGTCCTTACGTGGCCTTTCTCTGTGTACACGCCTAGAGAAAGCTCTGGTGTCAGAACACCACTCTTACTGGATTAGGACCCACCCTTATGACCTCATCTAACATTAATTATCCTTAGAAGCCCAATCTCTAAATAATCCAGTCTTCACACTGGGGACTCGGGGTTTAATGTATAAACTGGGGCGGGGGGTGGGGAGGACGAAATTCAGTCCAGTAACATCAGACTTGGAACAAGGCTTTGGACCACCACTGCTCTCCTCCATTCTGGCCAGCATCACTGCGAAATCCGCAGTGAGACTGAACTCCAGCCCAGAGGCTTTGCGGTGGACTCCCAGGCCAGCCCGGCAGGGAAGGGAGGAAGGGGGAGCCACAAAACCCAGCCATTCTATTAAATATTCCACTCAGTTAAGACTGAAGACTTGGGAAAAGAGCTCTCGCTGGTAATGAAGAGATTAAGGTAGTGGTTGTCGGCTGTGATGCAGATGCAGTGGCTGCATCCCAAGAATTGTACTTTCAAGCTCCATACCATCCATAAGTCAGGGGGAAAAGTGGTAATTGAAAATGAAAAATAAAACCATATCTTTAAAAAATAACTCAATTTTTAACCCAGGGAAGAAGTTATAAATATAATTGGATTTACTCTCCTGCAGTGTGTTGCTGGCGGGGTAGCCCGAGGACTGCTCTCCACACTGTGGAAGCACACATCCTCAGCAGCCTCCCATCTCCCTCTCTGCACCTTTTTCCCATTTCCCCCCAAGTGCTGAGGGCAGAGATAGTTCTCTGTAACTCCTCACGCTGGCTGCCCTGCAGGGCAATGGTTCTCCATCCTTACGATGCACAGAATGTGTGTGTCCCCGCCAGATTCACATGTTGAAGCCCTAACCCGCAACGTGACGGTGTTTGAAGATGGAGCTTTTGAGAGATCATTAGGTCACAAGGGAGGTGCCCTCATGATGGGATTAGTGCATTTATAAGAAGAGACAAGAGAACTTTCATTCCCCCTCTCCCTCTCCTTCTCTCCATCTGTCTCTCTTTCTTATATGAGGATTCAAGGAGAATTCAGAAGAAGAGTCACCAGGAACCGAGTCAGCCAGCATCTTCATTTTGGACTTCCCAGGCTTCGGAATTTGAAGAAATAAATGTCTGTTTTTAAACCACCCAGTCTGCGGTAATTCTTTGTGCAGCTGAGCTAAGACATCTCTCAACATTTCTCCTCCCGCCCCACACAGCCCCCAGTCCTCAGGGGACGGACCTGTCACCCTGACAGGTGCCCACCTGACAAGAGCCTCCTCGGCTGGAGCCCTCTCAGCCAAGCGGCGGCCGCTGCCGGCACTCACGTACAGCCCCACAGGCGCCGGGACGGTGAACGCGGGGCTGCTGCCGCGGGAGACGTGAGCATACCCGTACCGCATCCTGTCCCCCACCGACCGCATCCTTAATCCTAAGAACAACGCATCCAGGCAGCTTCCATTTTCTTTGTTTTACAAAAGAGAAAACAGACGAGGTTCAGAAGCGTTAACTGACTTGCCTGAGGCCATCCCACTAACAGGTTCCAGAGTTGGGGTTTGACGCTCGCCAGCTGGCCGCAGAGCCGGAGCCTCTCGCTCTACACGTCACTGTCCACTCCCGCCTCCATCCTCTGGTCATCTCTCCGTGGGGCGGAGTCAAGAAGGCAGAGCATCGCCTGGTTCAATCTCAGCTGGAATCATGGACATGAGGCAACTCAAATTTTTTGCTATTCTGCTCACGGCCACACGAAGGACCGAAAAAGGATTAGGAGTACTGATTTGGGGCTTACGAATAAACTTTAGTGAATAGGCGAATTTGCACACATGGAATCCGCCAATAGTGAGGACTGCCTGTACTTTCCTTCTCCTGTGACATGTAATCACCTGAACAGAAGTTAGCCTTGTGAGAATGACGTCTGCACATGGGGCTGTTCCTGTGGCTGCTGGTTCAGAAATGGTACTCCTGGGGTCCGATCCAGGCATCCATCAGGTTGTCCCCTCACTGACCACCAACTCTGTGTGGACAGGAACTGTCTACCTTGCCCACTGCTGCGTCCCAAGCACCTGGAAGTAAGTACATGCTGAACGGGGACCAGAGGAAGATGGATGATCAGGTCTGGAACTGGTTCTTTAACATGGGCCTTTATGCAGATTAAACAAAAGATTTGCTGGGCATCCTGAATGCACACGCTGAAATGGGATCTAAATCAGGCAGGTTTAAGAGCAAAACAGAGTGGGTCTTTTTTTTATAATTCATTGGCTTGGGTGTTTCTTTTTTTTCCTCCTAGTTATAAAATGTTGGGAAAAAATTTAAGTAAAAAACAAAGAACTACCAAATCCCTACCTCCCCAAAACAACTCTAAAATTTAAGTAAATATTCTCCTATTGGTTCTTCTGTAGTTTGACTAAGATTTGGTTTCCTCATAGGTCCCTGTGCCCTGTGTCTCTCCCCGCTCCCCAGAGCCCCTCTTCATGCCTCAGAGAGCAGGAGTCAGACTAAGACTACCATTTCCGGTCTAAAATGTAAAGTCTTGGCCTAAAGACAGATGGCATTATAAGATCAGTCTGCGCTGGCCCTTCCTGTGCCCAGAGATGAGATCACAGGGGATCTAGATGGGGAGCGGGGAGACAGTATGCGTCGGTGTTTTGGGGGGTCCCTGTGTGCACCTGACTTCCAAAGTCAGGGCGAGGCAGAGGCTGAGACAGCGGGAAGCCATGACAGCAGGGCAGAGGGAGCCTCCCTTAGGTAGGGCCCAGCCCAGTGCCCAAGGTCAGAATTTGTACCAGACACGCTTACAAGTGACCTACAAAAGAAATACAGTGGCCCCTTTCAAGGTGGAGCAAAGGAATTCTCCTCTGTGGTGTCCAGAAGCTGCCCTGAACCCGCCCTCACCGTCCCAGACGTCCCCGCAAGTGGGGCAGGTTCTACTGCACCCCCAGGGCAGCCAGTGCAGTGTGACGCCCAACACTGTCAGTCCCCCGCGGGCAGGCGCACCCCCAGGGAAGGGCCGTCTTTGAACTGACGGCCATCTAGGTCCTATTGCTGGTGGAATGTGGGCCCAAAAGAGAAATTCAAGTCCAATCCTAGAAAAGTAAAGAACGTGTACAACCACAGTGGTTGCGGCAGAGATTCACACCCACAGCTCCTGTAAGCACTGACCGTTGAGCAACTCGGGGAATCTGGGCGCCACCCCCGGCCCCCATGCAATCGAAAATCCAAATACCGCTCTCTCTCCCTCAGAAGAAAGGAACTGATAAATGATTCACCCAAAGGCAGGAAGCTGAAACAGTTTGGATAGAATCAGGACTCAAACCTTAGTTCTTTATTTTTTAGTTGTGTTATGACCATAAAAATGTTGAGGACCATATTTTTCATGCCTAGATTTTAAATTTTTTTTATTTTATTTTTCAAAAAGACACATGCACCCGAATGTTCACAGCAGCATTGTTTACAGTGGTCTACCTATGGAAGCAACCTAAGTGTCCATGAACAGATGAACAGATACACACACACACACACACACACATACACACACACATACATACACACAAACACACATACACACACACATACACACACACACATACACACACACACACACACAAAATGGAATGTCACTCAGCCGTAAGAAATAATAAAATCTTGCCATTTGCAACAACATGGATGGACCTAGAGGGTATTATGCTAAGTGAAATAAGTTGGACAGAGAAAGACAAATACTGTATGATATCACTTACATGTGAAATCTAAAAACTGCAACAAACTAGTGAATATAACAAAAAGCAGCAGGCTCACAGATCTAGAGAACAACCTAGTGGTTACCTGTGGGGAGAGGGAGAGGTAGGGGCAAGACAGCAGTGGGAGATGAAGAAGTACAAACTACTATGTATAAAATAAACTACAAGGATATAACGTACAGCACAGGGAATATAGCCAATATTTTATAATAACTATGAATGGAGGACAAGCTATAAAAATTTTGAATCACTATGTTGTGCACCTAAATTAATATAATACCATAAGTCAACTATACTTCAATTTTAAAATTTAAAAGAAAAATAATGTAAAATAAATGGGATGTGATATACAGCATAAGGAATGTGGTCAATAATGCTAATAACTCTGTAACGGGGCAGAAGGTTACTAGACTTCTTGTGATCATTTCACAATGTATGCAAATGTCAAATCAGTACACCTGAAACTAACACAATACTGTACATTAACTATATTTCAATAATAACCACAGTTCTTTTGATTTCATATATTGTGATCTCTAAATGAACACAAACTATTCCCCACACTTAAAGATCTGTAAAATGAGACTTAAAACATCACATGTGATTTCAAATAGATACTGACCCACTTCCAAGATTTGGGCAACAGTCCAGAAACAGAACTGAGGGAATAGTGGTAGGGGTAAAAAATTGAAAAAAAGAATCTGGAAAATGAAAACATAGGTACTATATTTACTGAAAAAAAAATCTGCTATATAAGTAGATCCACATAGTACACACACATACAGACGACCTTCCTCCTTTTCAAAGCTGCTCCACTTATGCAGTGATCTGATATTTCTGTTCTCATCCTCTGACCCACAGGCATCTCTGCTCCCATCCATGAGTTCCCCCAAATCCTCCCAGAGCATCATCCCCACCCACCAAGGTCTTTCCTAGAGTTAAGGTCTGTGCAGATGGTTCTGTTTCCCACGTAGACAGTCCTACATGCCCTGCAGCTCTGTGAACACCCCCGGGCAGGACAGACAGCTCCCAGCTGAGCGGCGGGGGCAACTTTTAGAAAAGGCAGCATGTAGGGAGGGAGACAAGGTGAGAAAGGTAAGGTGGGTCTAGACTTCAAGGAGCCTGAATGTGGACCAGATACTTGGAGTTTATCTGATAAGCAACAGGAACCACACTTGACAGTGAGAGGGAGTGGATGGAAAATGGGGGTGCTGAGGCTGAGCAGACCAATGCGGAGAGAGTCAGCCTTCTGCTTACCTGAGACCTGATTCTCTATGAAGAGGCTCATCTGAGAAGGGGCGATTGCATGTTAAGGAGGAGCTGGACCTGGTGGGCTAGGTAGTCAGACTGCATCATGCACCTACACTATTGTTCGAGAAGGGGCAGAGGGAGAGGACCAGACTGGGGAGGGCAGCGGCTTCAAGGAGCAGTAGGACTGAAAGAAGGTTGGTGAGTTCTAGAACAGTTAGAAAGTTGGTTGATGGAAATATAGCATCCTAGGGAGAGAAAGAGAAAGAAGTGAGGGGAGGGTATAGCCCAGTGGTAGAGCCTTAGCATGCATGAGGTCCTGGGTTCAATCCCACAGCACCTTCATTAAAAATAAACAAACAAACAAACAAATGAATAAATAAATAAAAGAGAGACAGAAAGAGAGAGGGAAGGAAGGAAGGGAGGGAGGGAGAGAGAGAGAGGAGAAAGAAAGAAAAGGAAGAAAAGGAAGGAAGGAAGGAAGAAAGAAAAAGATTTATTTAGTCAAAAACCTATCCAGCATCCCACTCCTGGGCATATATCCAGAAAAGATGAAAACTCGAATTTGGCAAGAGACATGCACACCAATGTTCATAGTGGCATTATTTACAATAGCCAAGACATGGAAGCAACCCAAGTGTTTACCTAAGTGTCCACAGATGATTGGATAAAGAAGATGTGGTACATATATACAACAGAATGCTACTCAGCCATAAAAAAAGAGTAAAATGCTGCCATTTACAGCAACATGGGTGGACCTAGAGATGATCATACTAGGTAAGTCAGACAAAGAAAGACAAATATCATATATCACTTACATGTGGACTCTAAAAATGATAGAAATGAATTCATTCACAAAACAGAAAGAGAATCAGACATAGAAAACAAATTTATGGTTACTAAAGGGGAAGGGGTGATGGAGGGATAAACCGGGAGTGTGGGATTAACAGACACACACTGCTACACACAAAATGGATAAACAACAAGGATTTACTGTGTAGAACGGGAACCTATATTCAATATCTCATAATAACCCATACTGGAAAATAAAAAATATATATAAAAGATATATATATATGTGTGTGTGTGTGTGTGTGTGTGTGTGTGTGTGTGTGTGTCTGAATCACTTTGCTGTGTAACTGAAGCTAACACAATATTATAAATCAGCTATACTTCAATTTCTAAAAAAGCATATTTAATTAAAAAAATTAAGCAGATCATGAATCCAAAAGTAGAAATGCTTTTGTGGTTATAAATAACATTAAAAACCTTTTAAATAAACCGGACTGCATCTCTTTAGAGTCTAATCGTCTCTGTGAACTTGCATCAGTAACTGCCCGGCTTCTTATCCTTTTCTTGGGATGTCTTTCAAGTTCACTGCCACTGAGAGGATTCAGATGTAAATCACCCTCCTTCCTTTGAAATAAAGATGCTTTGAGCTATTTTGGTATCAGTCATGTTTAATATCGGGATCACAAGGTATAGACATGAATATATGAACAATCTCACATTTTAATATTAAGAGATGGAGCAGGCAGCCAAGTTATTAGTACGTGGTTAAATCCAGCACTCCAGCTGCTGCAGAACTCGAGGTGGGATTTCTGAGCAATCACCGGCCACGCTAGCAGTCTGGCGGCCACATGCCAGCCCATAAAGCGGGTTGCCTTGTTAGAAACATCAAAGGCTCGGGCTTGACTCAGCAGAGACACACGCTGCTCAGAGCCCTAGCGGGGCAAGGTCTTCATGGAACT